ATAGTATATGGAAGCAGAACGGAATATGACGTCAGAGGTTATGGTCTGAAAGAAAAGGCAGACTCCTTGCTAATGGAGCATTGCAGTACGTTCTTCGAAGCCACTATACAACACCATGATGGGGATTATTTGCGTAAATCTTATGGAAATATAGAAAGTCTCTCGAGACATGCATGAGACATACCCATTAAAAGGGGAACATGTAAATACAACCTCTTGACATAAATTCTGTGTCTGCTGAATCATCAGACTGGAATAAGCAGCAGTCATGCGAACTGAGCAAATAACAGTTTCCGCCTGGTGTGGCTGACAATGATTCGAAAGTCAAAAATGCATGAGAACAGCAAACTATGAATGAAACAGTGACGCAATAAGGGCACTGAGGCAGCGAGAGACTGCGGCGATCGTTGGGTAATGTAGCGTTTCACACAGCGAGTTCAAGTCAATTTAATAAATTGTAACAACTTTTATCGGCTCAGTAGCTGATGAAACTCCTCGTTGGTTATATTTCTGATTTTTCAGTTTTGGGGTTTTGTCAGTGAAAACATGAATGGTTATGTTCATTTAGGAAATTGACTGAACTTGCATGAATATGAAACGTTCTTATTTGCAAACAATATGCTCTAGATCTGCTGACTTGTCGTTCAGACATCCAGTGTGTCTGGGTGTGTTCAGTAGAATTGCTTTATTTATTCCTTACTGATCTTTTCAACAGAAAAACATTGTATACTCGATACTGCGTCTAAATTAATGTTGCGTCTAAGGGTTAATTTGGAGCACTCAGGGATTGATTACTATCCTCATTTACAAGATCTAACTGCCAACCGCCTGCATCTGAAAAAGACTGTCACGTGTATATGTTAGAATTATAGCTGCATACCTGGACATTTTGCGTGACTTAAAACGGAGTGCACTTAAACAAGGATAGAGAATGACGAAAGAGCTTCGCACCTCTCTAGTCTTCCTACACGCTCATTCTAATATGCATCGCATGTCGCGTTAATCACCGTCGACATCAGCAGGCATAGTTTTCTAACCTGACGTCCTTCCTGCTTAAATGACAAGGTTAGGCCCATAGACAATTATTCCCTGCGCTGTGATTAACCAAGCCTAATGCCTTCGCCAGAACTGTCCCAGTGGGCTACGTTTGCAACAATTCAATCGGGCTCGGGCGAACGATCTCACGCCTCAATAGAAACCTTTATAATGCCAGTGTGTCTGCTACACTCGTTCAAGCTCAACGCAGTTGCCTGTTCGAGGGGAGCGCACGGAAGGCGAAGGTCAAATATATAATCCCGGTAGTTAGTTCATCGTAATTTTCAGTCCATTTTAACACATCACGCAAAATATCGTCGGAAGGTCGTTGACTGTATAAACGTGTTCCTTATATCTGGCTGATACAAAAGGCGAACAGTCACACCTGTACAGATATTGGAATTTCTTGTTCATGGAAATTTTCGTGTACTCTGCGGAAACGCCCAAATCATACTTAGACACCCCTGGTACCTTGCCTAGCATTTTGTTTTCATTGGTCTAGCAAATTCTGCCGAGTTTCAAATGACAGACGCCAATCATGTATAGGGATATTATTTATCTCACCGTGGGCACTGCACGAGGGCATGTTTTTTGACCTAAAAAGTAGTGAACCATTATTGGCCTTGCCCCTGGGTTAGGCCCATTTCAAAATGTAAAATACCAGTGGTTTCCAAGTAGGTTGTGGTCTTTTAAAACTGTGCGCTTTTGTGATATCTTTTCAATTGCATCCGTATTTCTGCTTGACATACTGCCGACCGTTTATTCATACAGTGCAATGACTCGGGACTTATTTTGGTGTCATATTTATTGACACGAACAGCTCTACTAATTGGAACTAGCAGCTGAATTTGAATTTCATCTCAAATGTCTAGTGCTCTGTATTGTAAAATACACTGGGACCCATCTGTAGGCCCGAGTAACAGATACAGATAATGTAACACCCGTCAGTATCCACACCAGAATTACATCCCTGTCAATAATAACTTTTTCTGTGCATAATTGCGTTCTTTTGCTACCAGCTTTATCCAGGTATCAAGTCGTTCATACCGCTTTATGTGGATGACGCCAGCGGTTACTGCATGGATTCCAACCCATTATAAATACAGTCTTACAGCTTAATTGCTACAGTGCACTTGGAAAATTCCCGTGACATCACTTGAAGTGGCCATATTTAAGAATGAAAAATATATGTATGGCCTGTTTTCCACGTAAACTGTCATAAAAAGATATCGGCCGACACAGCTCGCCCGTGCAGTTTGCCATTTCCTTATTGAATTATTCCACTATTAATAAAAAGCTTCTTTCAGCCGTCGACATAGATATTTTCCTCTCTGATAAACTACCTAATCGTATTTAAATTAGTCAAAATTTGTCCCATTTACCTCCTTGAAATTATGCTCTGAATGTCTACTATAGCAGGATTTCACGGAGGATTATTTAGCCTAATAAGCATATGAGGCCAATAACTGAGCGAGGGCAAAGTGAACAGTTTAGATGAGTGTGATACGTTTGATGCCCTTGGCACTTATTCATCAATTTCTCTGCGTTGGAATCGCAATCGGCCAATTAGGCGTTTGCGTGATGCACATGTGCGGTACCAGTATAAGCAAGATAGTTTCGAGGCGGTAAAACCGCTTAAGGGCGATAAATCTATTACTTGTGGTAATGTTAATAGATCTTGAAATGTTAGTGCTGCATGTAGGAGAGTTGTCGAATAGGAAAGACGTGTTAAGAAAGTTAATATTGTACTTAGCTTCATCCTCCCGTATTAACCTGCGACCAAATAGGCCCATGCGAGGAGTGAATGCGTGTGTACATTGTGGGCAGTAGAGCTGGGCGTGGCAAGTGTATGTTGGGACCTCGGGCATTGGTGCACCCGTCACATTATCATGGATTCGCGCGTGGCCGACCAGGCTAACGTGTGAAGTGAGTGCACCGTCGCAATGAGAAAGGTTGAAATAGAACCCTGTTTATGGTCGCTGGAGGCAGTCCAACCGCCTTGACCAATGACGTCCGACATGTGCTCCACAACAGATAGAAAGCAGGATCGGAAAATTGCGCGTAACTTAATTTATGATGATCAAAAAACTTGCACAGCATCTACCGCACCCCTCCACCACCCCCACTTGGGATCGATATCAAGACAGAGTCAAGAAGACCAAAGGCGGGAGAGTGTACAGGTGGCGGGCGCCGCAGCGTCCGCACCTAGGCGCGCTACTTCACACCACTTAGTCCGATGGGAAAATTTGACCAATATTTCGACCGAAAAGAAGATGGGTCCGAAATAGGAAATGATGACAAATCACTGGTCAAACATGCACACGACCTGCCTACACAGTCAGAGCACAAGCGAATTCACCGCAGGTGGGTATATATAACGGACTTGATAGCGTACAACAGAATGCGAAGATATAGCCGACCCACATGAATCTTCAAGCCCAAAAGGGTAAGACGCGACCCTAAATTTAGACTGGGCCATTACACTTAAAAGTTTGTTGCTGACGAGATTCCGGACGCCATATCATAGGTTATGGGGGCGAGAGAAGCGGTAATGCTGGGGAAGCCAGTCGCATTAATCAACAGAGCTGCTGGGGGAGGGAGTATGTTGAACGTGATGAAGGTCAGCGGGGCATCGGCCGTACGACGACGAGTGTGGAAGATGACGTTCTTCATGATGAGACTTGAGTTTAAATCCACCAGCTGTTGCGAAATAACCGCAGATATTCCATTAATCGCTTAAACCATTCCACATTTAAATGCACATAAGTTCGGTTTTCCGCCATAAATACCATATGACGGGGAGATGTGATTGGATTTGCATTCTTTGAATTAAATAACAATTAGGACAACGCCTTATCAAGATATCTCACCTCGATTAATGTACTGCCAGTGGAACGCCTTTGTAGCGATCCATCATCCGCAAGCAAAGAAAATACTATTTTTGACTTGCACTTCCATATAAAGGAATAGTGTTTATGATCTGTGCAAAACATATTCAGCCACTCCGAAGATAGTGTCATGAGGGATCAACCGACAGTCTATTTACATGGCAGTTGGTATTCAGCCTCTTTTCGAAACTGCATGATGTAATTAGTCGTTTCGACTTCTCTTGATTGCAGTCATATCTAGAAGATGTCATTGCAATTATGTCATTCGTGAACTCGTCCATTGACCTAAAGACAGCTATATATATATTCCCTTTAGAAATGCGTTTCAGTGAAAAGAGGTATTTTTAATTCAGAGTAGATACTTTTGACACGATGCGGGTGGTAAGGCTGTTATCCACCCCAGATTCCCTTCTGAACGGATGTGGAGGTCTAGCAAGGCTTAAAAAGAGGGAATGTTTATAACTTATTACGGTTTGCTTTGAGTCAAGTCGTCCAAAATGAATTGCATTTCGACAGCATGCTCGGCGATGCTAGTATTTCATTTCACGAGAAGTCCTGGCGATCTAAGGCAAAGTATAAAAAGTGTACCTCATTGTCAATAGCGTAACTTGCTAGTTACGGAATATGAAATAATTTTGCCAGTTTTAACTTGACAGGCCATGACGAGCTGAGTGTTAAACCAACCCAATGGTCAATGATGACATCTGAATGATGAATGATTTTTGGACACTACTACCAGTTATTCATCGCTCCATTTTTTGATATTTCGACTGAGTTTTTGAAAACTTTTCTAAAATCACATCATCTGAAGTTGTCCACAGGAGCATATTTTGAGTGTTTCAGAGGTCTTCATCGTCACCACAAGTGTGCATACGCTGGTGTACACCATTGGCCAGCTAAGTGAACAAAGGGAATGAAAAAAACGTTAATCACATGAAAAGTAGGGACTGTCGTGACCTAACATGTCACCGTTTTCAATATGCTATTTCCCTATTCGCTGGCGTGGGATAGCGCAACAACTATATATTGCACCGCAAAAGGCACCGTTTAGCACTCTATTTGTTTAAGGCGTAAAACATGGGTCCCCGCTATCTTCTTGCTGCAATGCTATCCCTATTGGTTCTTTCGGCTAAAGGTGGTTATTTGAAACCTGGAGCCGACAAATTGCATGATGAACAAATTGATTTTGCGGACGGAGAAGAGCAGGAAATGCTGAATGATGTCGATGAGACCGGCCATCATTTTGAGAAGTATGGCCATGTAGACGACAGCTCTGAGGAGCATGATGGTGAGGAAGGGGAAGTTCTTGAAGATACTGACGTTGATAATTCTGAGTTTGATTTGGACGATGTCGGCAAACATAACGGACAAGAAACCAAAATTTTTTATAACGATATTGACGGAAGTGGCCTCGATAATTCTGAGTTTAGTGTTGATGATGTTGGCCATGGTGGTAATGGTGGTGATGAATATGGTCCGGATGAGGAAGAGGACGACGAGGAGAAGGAGGAGGAGTAAGCTGTTCGAATGTAGGAAAAAAACATACGACAAAGACGGTTTGGGGCATCAATTTCTCCCTGGCATCAACGGTAAAACGGTTTTTGTGTAGTGTCACAAAGTTTTATTTTTCACCTGTTTGGTAATGGCTGATCATATATATTCTAAAAATATTGCGTTTGTGCTTTATGCAGCGAGGGAATTTACAAAATATATTTATATAGGGATGATATTTACCTGCCAATGCCTGTGCTAGTCTCTGTCGCAAGCACAGTAGTATAAAAGGCTTTCGTTTCCAACTACAAGAAGATCGTCATGTTTTTGGAGGCATAGTTTTGAAGGAAATATCTAATATCGCAGCTGGAATATTGGCTAGATAACTGGGTTTCTAATGGGCGGTAGTAAGCGGTAATTGTTGGAAAAGGCGCGTCAGAATAAACGACTACATTTCGGATCAGAGGCGAACCATTGCTGGGTTGTGTGAAAGACAAAGCGCAGTTGCCTATGAAGATGCAAATTGTCTTCTGCTGAAAAAAGGATAGGCGGAGATCGCAATGACAGTAGGAAGAGACACAAGCGGTAGTCGGTAGTGTGCAGTTTGAGTATCTGATTAAAAACCATCATTTTATTTGAATCGGACACGCCATCTTGTGGACGTGATACGTTTTAAATAGAAAATATTTATCGGTTTGCCAAAAAACCCTTTACAGATAACTAGACAAGAGAAACGTCTGAATCATTGCAATTCGTGCGATGAAAGAGAAATGGATCCATATGCAAAAACGAAGATAGACCACACAATTATACTTGCTTTTTTCCGGTATTCGGCTTCAGTATAATATTAATTTGAGCAGATTCGTTCAAAGCACCAAAGTCGTCACAGGGAATTTCGTGAGACACCATGCGACCCAATCAGCGGATATGCAATTCCATGGAGTCCCTCGCTGTGGATTCAATTCTGAAGGTTTTTGTGATATAGCTCTTTTAGTATGCTGCATATGCAGCAACAGTGCATTAGAGGAGTCTACCAGTTAATTAACATTACTTGTTTCGTGCGGAACATTACACAATTAGTTGTAAGGTACTTAGTTATAATTATGCAGGGTTTACCTATCATTCCCGTCTTCAAATACCATATGGAAACACCATCCTCTCAACTCACTTCTGGCACTCACCATGTGGATTTTTGTCGAAATGTGGCGTGTGTAAGTGGTAAGGATATTCTGACACCTTGAATGCATTTACAGACGGCACTGGAAAAGTTAGCATCGGCACATCAACCATCGAGAAATCATTGCTTGACTATCTCCACCTTGAAAATTTTAATTGCACTCCCGTGGGGCTTAATTAACCAGTCTAGAAAAAGGGTTACGTTTGATGATCAAACAGTATGCCAACATACATATCGCCGTCCTGATATTTTGTTTTTACCTGCTTCATTACCAGAAGACAATCAAAAATCTCCTCTGGATTTCGAAATAGATTCCGCGGCGGTGTAATTGCCTCCCTCGCAAGAGCTCCTAGGAGGCTTATTTACACGCTGATCGTGTAGCATATCAGAGTGAAGTATTAATTCGTAGAGCTCGACCTGCTTCTTTGCAAAAATCTCGTCATAATTACGGGGTGCATGTACGCTCTGCAATGAAATTTTCTAAGAGGAGTGTACCTAACAGACATGCCTTCACTTCTTCGTAGATGGCCAAATTAGAAATTGCCAATTGTTTTAACTGCAGGGGATGCAGCGAGCGAACTAATCAGACAGCGCCTAACTACAGTTATCACGAGTGAATTCCCCGCGCCGAATTTACGCGTGTGCTTCACAAACGCTCCCCTACTACATTAGGAAGGTAAAGACAGACTACGCTTAGAGGCCACCTCAGTGTGCATTTACTCACTCACTTGCTCCTATGGAGCAGGATAGGTTAGCTGCACAACAAGACGCCTGGTAAAGAGGGTGCATGAACATATGCCCGCCTGACTAGACAGAGGTGGGATCCGATCGATTTCGAGATCTATTCTCGACCATTTAATCGATACAAATCACTGAGTCGATTCTAAGCAAGCATTTCAGGTTTTCTACCGGACATCAACAAGTTATTTGAAAGGCCTACGGCAACCGATACTAGCAACGGCCGAGGCAGTTGGTTTACGGATAAAGAATCCGAAGTTATGCTCTCAGAAATCCTTGACACAAACGCACTCTCTGCCGTGGCCAACGCCAAACTCAACTAATGGCGACATGTCGCCTCAAATCCATAATAACAGTGATGGGCACTCCGTGTAGTCAATCCGAGAACATCAGTCAAAGACTACCTTATCTCACTCCCCTAGCTCTAAGGACTAGAACCTGCCGACCTCGTCATGCGGGCGTCGTGAGGAAGATGAATGTTAATGACTTCATTCCCTTTGAGACGCCCGATAATTTTTTACATTTTCATTCCTTACTGTAGCTGTATGGGTCGGAAGAAAAATTACCGAAAATATTGCTTGCCAACCTAAATTTTCAAAAAGAATACACAAACTTTTGCAAAGCAAGGAATTTGCTGTCGTGTGTAGTTGCTTGTATTTAATACCCACGGATCAAAAACCATTAAAACGCTCCATCTTGTGTAACTGTGCAGCACGTCTTTATTCTCTCATCTACAATACTCGCGGAGCAGACAGTGATGCCCACCAAAAAGTTGAAACCGGGTCATTGATTCTACCGTTTGTTGTTTGCAAAATATATATTTGCTGCAAACAATTCATTCGATTTGCTTCGCACAAATGTCAAAATAATGGCTGCTTTGAATAGTTTGAGTGCGTTGATTTGTGCAGGGTTTGTTTCTGAAACTTCATCCAACACGGGAACTTTAATTATATCAAATCGTTAAGCACTGGCGGTGCTAAGCTTGTTGCAAGTAAAATAATAAACTGCAAAGCTTTAGTATTTTGCTCGATCACATTTGCCTAACACAGAAAGACTGTTGTCTTCTTAGAGAAAATTCATGGTTAGCCCGAGTGTTACTTATTTAGCCATTTAAAAACAAACGAACCTAACCTTAAGCCTCATACAATCCCTGATCCCAAAAATAACCATAATCATAACCTAACCCCGAGTCTAACAATTAACGTAAACCTGAACCAAATTCCGAATCCTTGATCTAATCGGAATCCATAAACTTAGCACTAATCTGAAGCCCAAACCCAATACCTATATGACGCTAACCTAAATTCTACATCAAAACCGAAAGATCAGATTACCCTTTTTGTCTTTAAAGCATTAGTTACTATCCCGCTAACGACTTCAGTCTAGTTCCTCTGTTTAATCTACTAGCAGTACATGAATTTTTTTTTACGCTTGGGACCAGTACAGCGTACTGGATCCCTACCGTGGTGTGCACCTCGGATACCTGACTAAATATGTTGCCCATTACGCAATGGAACTTTTATCTGCTGTAGAAACGCACGCATAGTAAGTATGCTTACACATGAAATGTCAACCGAAATCCCAAAATAAGTTTTCGTTTCAAAAATCCTGCAACATAATTCGATAATATTTCAGTTACCTCGGGATGCCGGCTTTCGAATGAAGTTTTTCGGCGGCTGCACGCAAAAGAACACACCGTTAAACGACTGCTTACTTTGCATTCCTTTTAGCTCGTTGATTTTCAAAGGCCTTAAAAAGACAATTTTATTTCAAGGAAAACATGCCCATAAATATTATTCTTTTGCTCATTGAACCTTAGGTTCGAAGACAGGATATAATTCGGTTTTCCAAAACTTTCCGATTTCCGATTAATGTTGAACCAGCTCTACATTTACACTTTGATTCAGGATTTCCAAGAAACAAGCCGTATATTTTCCATGTGCAGAAATCTACATATGTCTCTACGGTAATAAAGGGACCATATAGGGTTACTGAAAGTTATCAGTGGATTCGATCCATATTGTTAAATTTACAAGCCACATTGGTAAATGCAGAAACGTGACGATTTATGAACGGGCATTTAAAAGTATTTAAAAGTTTCATAACTAAAAACTTCTTAAAACAAAATTGTGTCTCTATTTCGAGTATCAAATTAAAAAAGACGTAATCCTCGGCCGAATGAGCGTACGAATGAATATTTTTTTCCCATAATTTATACGAAATATAATTGGACTTTCAGGGTCATCAAATTTCAGTTAAAAATTTAGTCTACTCTAGTGGTCATTTTTAAAAAGAGTATTTTTTGCATGTACCAGGCAAAACGTCCATTCTATAGGTGGCATACTCCAGTACCTTATATATTATAGAATTATGCCGTAGGCTGACTTAGTTAATCTCTGCGAAAGGAAAAGCATTTCGGAATTTCCGTTGACATTTCATTATGTAGTCCACCTACGGTAGGTTTGGACAAGGAGTTCTGAAAATGTATTTCATATTATCCATCGCTTATTGTCTAAAGATACACTTTTCCGTTATTACCAGTGACAGTTGTTCACATAATATAAATTGCGCATCGGGTAGAGCAGTTGATATCAAGGCATTGAACGAATCTATACATTTAACATGGAGGACGTCGTGAACCATATGTAAAGTACAAACACTCTGTCAATGCGGTTTTTTCAGTTCTCCGTCCTATTAAAGTTGGTACAACCTCCTTGCCGGCAAACATAAGAGATATGTAGATATGCTAACTCATGAAGTGTTGGGCAAAATTCTGAAATGCCTTCTGGCCTCTAAAAGTTTTTTTAAAGAAGTTGTTACATTTACTGTCTTGCAGAATATCACGGTAATTATTTGGATACTTTAAATTGTTAGATTTTGAATAAATTCCAATTCCCTTGGAGTGCAGAAAGCGCATTCTGCCAAAGATGATCACTTAAGTTAAACATAGTTTTCTCATTCTTTCACTGCCCCATAATTTAAAATATATTTTGTCCAAGACGTCCATAAAGATAACTATCATTCTATCCTGTTGACAGAAAAGCTACGTCGTCTTCAAACTTTGCACGGAAAAATAGGGTATTGTTTAAATTAAGAAAATTGTATTTTCTGA